GAAAAGTTGTCCTTCAGGAATAAAGACTAGACTTCCCCAGACAAAAACTGAGGAAATTCATCACTACTAAATGGGTCTTATGAAAAACATGAACATGAGTTCTTTGCATTGAAATGATGCTAGYTAACAACAAATATATGAAAATATAAAACTCACTGTGTAAAAGTAGGAATATAGCCAAATTTGGAATGCTCTGATACTAAAATAGTGGTATGTAAATCACACTTTTATCTGTAGCCCAAAAGTCAAAAGGCAAAGTTATTAAAAACTATATGTCAATGAATTCAAAATATAAAGGATGTAAACTGTGACATCAAAAACAAAGTATCAAAGTTAAAATGGATTTATTGTATACAGTTGAAGTTAAACTATTATCAGTTTAAAACAAACTAAAGACTAAGACAAACTAAGCTTCATAATACCCACAAAGAAAAAAACCTATAGATTAGATGATAAAGGAATCAAAGTACACTAGGAAAAAAAATTAACAAATCACAAAGGAAGAGAGAAGAATRTGACAAAAGAACAAAAAAGTCAGAAGATCGATTAGCAAAATGGCAATAGTAAATCTTTATCTTACCTATCAATATCAATCAAAAGATCTAGAGTAGCTAAATGAATAAAAACAAGCATAAACTATATGCTGCCTGTAATAGACTAACTTTAATTTTGTTGTTGTTGTTGTTGTTGTTGGTTGTTGGATGTTTGGTTGATTGGCTGGTAGTACTTGGATTGTTCTTAGGGGCATGTGTACCACTGAGTCACATACCCATCCTTAATTTTTTTTTTTTAAATTTTGAGACAGGGTCTCTCTAAATTATCTCAAACTTGTAATCTTCCTGCCCCAGACTCCCCAGGGATTACAGGTGTGTGCCACCACACCCCACAATTTTAAGAACACATGCAAGGACTGGAGATGTAGCTCTACTCAGTGGTAGAGCATTTGCCTAGCATGTACAGGGCTCTGGGTTCAATCCCCAATAAATACCACAAAAAATAAATAAATGAAGGCAAACTGAAAGACATGGAGAAAGATAGTTCATACAAACTGTAACCAAAAAGACCTGGGGTGGGGGAATAATACTTGGACAAAACAGGCTTTCAGTTAAAAACTAAAGGGTATAACAATTATAAATATATAGTACCTGTGTCAGAGCACCTAAAAAAAGCATACATTAACATAACTGAAAGGAGAAACAGATGTAATACAAAAGTAGGGAACTTAAACACCCACTTGCAAAAATGGACAGATGGTCCAGACAGAATATCAATCAGGAAACCAYTAAAAAACAAATGGGCCAGGCGCGGTGGCACACACCTGTAATCCAGTGGTTCGGGAGACTGAGGCAGGAGGATCCTGAGTTCACAGCCAGCCTCAGCAATGGCAAAGCTCTAAGCAACTCAGTGAGACCCTATCTCTAAATAAAATACAAAACAGGGCTGGGATATGGCTCAGTGGTCAAGTGTTCCCTAGTTTAATCCCCAGGACCAAAAAAAAAAAAAAAAACAACAAATGGTCCTAAAAAACACACATAGAAAATCCAACCTACAGCAGCAGAACACACATTTTTGTCAAGCATAAAAAGAATATTGTCCAGAATAGATTATAAATTAGCTACAAAACTAGTCTTAATAAATTCAAAAGGCTGAAATTCACACCAATTATTTTAAAAATTTATTTCTGACCACAATGGCGTGAAACTAGAAAGCAATAAAGAGAAGAAAATTGGAAAAAATCAAATATGTACAAATTAAACTCCTGAACAACCAATGAGTCAAAAAACAAAAGAAACAAAAAACCTTGAGAGAAATTAAAATGGAAACAACATATCCATTTTACTTATGAGATGTAGCAAAAAGAGTTTTAAGAAGGAATTTTACAATAATAAATATCTACATTAAGAAAAAAGAAAGATTTCAAGTGAACAAGTAAACTTTACACCTCAAGAACTAGAAAAAAGAAACCAACCGAAAGTTAGCTGAAGGAGGGAAATAACAATGATCATGTCAGTAAGTGAAATAAAGATTAGAAMACAATAGAAAATATCAATGAAGGTTTTTTTTAAAAAAGAAATAAAATTAATAAGGCATTAGCTAGACTAAGGAAAAGAAGACTCTAAGGTTGTAAATAAAAGGAAAAACAAAATAACACAGAAATACAAAGGATCAAAAGAGACCTTGTGAGTAATTTTACACACCAACAAATTGGATAACCTAGAATAAATAAATTCTTGAACAGACATCCTACCAAGACTGAGTCACATAGAAACAGAAGCCCTGCCAGGCGCAAGGCTGCATTCCTGCAGTCCCAGCTACTTGAGAGGCTGCAGCAGGAGGARTCAGAGTTCAAGGCCAGCTTGGACAAAACAGTAAGACTGCCTCTCAGAAAGAAGGAAGGAAAGAAGAAACAAAAACTCTGAACAGACCAGTAACAAGTAAGGAGAATGAATCAGTAATCAAAAATTCTCAAAAAATAAAAGCCCAGGGCACGATGACTTCGGTGGTGAATTCTACTAAATATTTAAGGACAAATTAACACAGATCCTCAAATTCCTCCAAAACAGTAAAGAGGAGGGAACACCTCCAACCTCATTCTACAAGGGTAACATTACCATGATACCAAAGCCAGACTAGAGGACAACAGAAAAGAAAAATTACAGGCCCATTCACCTGATAAATACAGACACAAAAGTTTTGAACAAAATGCTGGATAAGCATCCTAACCCCAAATCTGAAATGTTTCAAAATCCAAAGTTTTTTGAGTACTAGATGACCAAAAAGTTCTATATTTTGGAGCATTCTGGTGTAAGGATACTAAACCAATGAAGTCTATGCAAACATTTCAAAATCTGAAAAAAATCCCACACCTAAAACACTGCAGACACTGCATGCCTAGAATCCCAGGGACACAGGAGGCTGAAGCAGAAGGATCTCAGCCTTAGCAACTCAGTGAGGTGCTGAGCGACTCAACAAGACCCTGTCTCAAACAATAAAATGAGACAGGGATGTGGCTCAGTGGTAGAGCACTTGCCTACCATGTGTGAGGCCCTGGGTTGGATCCCCAGCACCACAAAAATAGATAGATAGATAGATAGATAGATAGATAGATAGATAGATAGACAGACAGACAGACAGACAGACAGACAGATTGATTGATTGTTGGGGATCAAACACTGTGGTAAAGCACCCCTGGGTTCGATCTACAGTACCAAAAAAGAAAAAACTAAAACAGACTTACCATATGCTTCAACAATCCTACTTCCAGGAACACAGCCAAAGGAAACAAAATCAGTCTCTAGAACATATCTTCATTCCTACATCTACTGCAACATTATTCACAATATGCAAGATACAGAATTGCCTTTAAGGACATCGTGGACATATATAGAGAGAAAATATGTGTATACACACTCAGAGAAGAATATTACTCAAGTTTTTAAAAAGGCTGATCCTGAAGCAMGGTATGTTTAGTGAACACACCAGGCATGGAAAGAGGACTACAGACTCATATGTGGAATCTAGAATGTGGAGTGCAGAATGGTGGTTTCCAGGGGCTGGCAGGTAGGAGAAATGGGGAGAGTTGATCAAAGACAACAGCATCAGTTCTGCGGGATGAATGAGTTCTGGATATAGCTTGCTGACTATGGTAAATAACACTTCATTGTGTACTCAAGATTTGCGATGGGCAGATCTTAAATGTTCAATACTATTTTTTAAGCAAATAATCTTTTATAACAATTTTTTCTAATTGGTTACATATGACAGAAGAATACATTTTGGCATACTGTACACAAATGGAGCACAGCTTCTCCTTCCTCTGGCTGAACATGGTAAGCAAATAACTTTTGTTTGAATTTGAAGATCTTAATTTTTCTTTTCTTTTTTTTTTTTTTTTTGGACKAGGGATTTAACCCAGGCATACTCTACCACTAAGCTACCTACATTCTTAGTCTTTTAATTTTAATTTTGAGACAAGGTCTCACTAAGTTGCTGAGGGTCTCATTAATTTGCTAAGGTAGCCTAAAACTTGGTGATCCTCCTGCCTCAGCTTCCCAAGTCACTGAGATTATAAGTGTGTGCCAAGGGCCTGGCTCAAAGACCTTCACTTCCTTGTGCATTTTTAACTGTGTGTCACTTGGCAATAAACAGACTACACCAGCCTACAAAGATAATGGCCCAAACCTGGAAATGTTGAAGTCATCCGGTTCCCTGCAAGTTTCAACTTCTTTCTCCCATTTATTTACATAATGTACAAAATTTACATTTATGTACAAAATGAATAGGGGTCTCCCCAATGCTCAAATTATAACATTATTTTTCTTAAATGAGAAAATACTGTGGAAATGAAAATATGACAGAAAAAAAGCCCACCATTACATCATTAAACAGGATTTGTTGGTTATAGGCCTGAGTAACATGAACTATCATTACTTGGTTCAATATCTAGATACTTCTAATATACTGTGACTGTCGTAGAGGGTCATATTTAGATAGTAATATATTTTAGACCAAAAGATTCTTGGCATCTTTGCACAACTGCTCAAGGACAGTGACAAATCAGGTCACAACATAAGATATTTAAGAAAGAAACCCAGTATATGAATTACTGTATGAGGAGAAGCAATCATTTTAGAGCTGTTTGAATAGAAAAAAGAAATTACAAGCTGAACATTACAATGCACACCTGTGATCCCAGCCACTTGGAAGGCTGAGACAGAAGGATCACAGGTTCAAGACCAGCCTGGGCAACTTAGACTCTTGTTTCCAAAAAAATGAAAAGGGTTAATGATTTAGTTCAGTGGTGGAGCATCCCTGAGTTCAATCCCTCAATCCTCAGTACCAAAAAAAGAAAAAGAAAAAAGATTTTTAAGAAAGCAATTATATATCCAGGTCAATATAGTCATTTAATCCTCAAACTAAAATAAACCACCCAAACAAAATCTTTCCACTTCAAAACAGAGATAGAAAGGTCAGTTTGTAAGCCTCCAAACATTTAATACCTGGTTCAGAGAAAGTGTCACTAATATCATCATCTTTGTCATCTTCGTAATCCTCTTCCTCCTCCTCTTCCTCCTCATTTTCAGAAAGTTCATGCTCGCTGCCAAACCCTTCGTCATGGTCCTCATCRTCAACATCCTCCTCGTCATCCTCCTCTTCTTCAGGACTGCATTTGGTAGGCTGTTCTCCCAAGTTGTCAGAGACAAAAAGAGAGTAATTGTGCTCTTCTTTTTTCTGGGATGAATCTGAGACCGACGTGCTGGCAGAAAGGCTACTACTCTCTCCTGTGGCAACCGACCCTGGACCTTCCTGGGGCAGGGGACTAAGTAATAGTTCCTGGGTTTCTTTGAAGGGCAAGGTGGGGGTGGCATGGCCCTGGAGAGGTTCCAACCCCTTTTTCTCTGGCCTCTTTGCCACGGCACCACAGTAGCACATGTTCTCCTTCGCAGCATCTGCATGCGCCTGGCTCAGGAAGGACCGGCTCTGTTGCACGGGGCTGATCTTTACCTTTGCCTTTTTTACATAGTCTTTACATTCAACATGAAAGTTCACCTTTTCGTTATGATACATGTTGGTCTTCACCATGATTTGTGTGCTTGAAGTGGGYTTACTTGCTTTTTGGACACAGTCTRACAAAGGAACCTCAGCCTGAAGAGTCTTTGAAGAACACACAGGGGCAGCTGCTCTGCTTGTGATCTTTTTACCAGGGAATGAAGAGGGTAAGGGATTTTGTTTGATACTGAAAAGTGAATCAGGATAATAAAGGGAATCAGAAACAGACTGAGAGTCCTCACTATTAAGCTGGGCCAAAGTTGGAGTTTTACTTATGACCTCTTCATCTTGGTAAGGGCTAGAGAAGTCATCAAGACCCAAGTAATCCACTTCTTTTGTTCCCCAGATGTCACAGCTGGTTAGTTTGGTGTACTTGGTTAAGTCTTCACAGTATGTATCCCACTGCTCCCAGTTTGAGGCTAAAGCACCCTCATTATCCAGAACATCTGTGAAGGACTCCAGATTTTCAATGTCCTTGCAGTCCTCCAAAGAAAGTAAGTTGTCTCTAGGATTCTGTTGATAGTTCATCTCTCTATCCTAAGAAAGGTTTAAAAAAACAAGTCACACACCATATTTTCAGAATAATTACTTCCATCATCACTTGCACATATCAAATTGATAGATAACTACTCTACCTCTGGTCTGCTTTAAGAATGCTACTGACATGACACCTACATCATCATTTCACTGGGCAGGAAAAAAAAAGGAGGGAAAATATGTTCCTCAAGAGGCTTAGGCATGGTCCAAACACCAAGGGCTCTGGAGCTTTACTATGAATGCTTCCTAAAATGAGTTTACATTTCCTGGTCTTGGGAGGATTTGGCAGGGTATCTTTAGCTTCAATTAAGAAGCAAATAATGAAGACCTCACCTTCATTACAGAAGAATATGTGTTCCTAAGTAGATTAAATACAGAGGCAAAGAGCACCCCAAAGAAAGCTGGAACTCAGCCACAGAATGTAAGATCTTTTGCAAGACACTGTAACAATTTCTGGACAGGGAAGTAAAATATTCCTCATGCAATTTAGARACGTGATTTTAAAAGTCCGTAACACTTTGTAGCCATTAAAAAGAATGAAGGTTAGTCCTAAAAAAGACAATTCATATATATCTATGTTTAAAAAGCAAGTGAAACTACTGCATCTAAAAGTATGTCATCTAATTAAGAAACATACCCATATGTTTATAAATGTACAGGAAAAATTTGGTTTAATAGTAGTTACCTTTTGAGAAAAGGTCTGGAAGGTGGAGGCTCAGTAAAGAAATGAGGAAGGGTCTRGGGATATAGCTCAATTGGTAGAGTGCTTGCCTCTCATGCATAAGGCCCTGGGTTCAATCCCCAGCACCATAAGAAAAAAAAAAAAAAGAAAAGAAAAGAAACCAGGAAGTTTTCCATTTCTACTCTAAGTTTTTAGTTTATTTGTTCATCTAGGTTGTTTTAGCTTGTGTAACTGTGTTTTAACAGCTTCACTGCAGTAGGTTTAGATACCATAAAACTCAATTTTATTAAGTGTATGATTCAATGATTTTAAAATAAATTTACATTTTGTGCACTCAGTTTTCCAGTTTTATATACTTCCATATTACTTATGTCATATGTATCAAAATTATTTTTTAGAAGATGTTAAGAATTTTATCTCATAAAAAGTATATTCAAGTATTACTTTGAATTTCTACTTTTGCCTCACATACCCTGTATCCTAYCATCTTGCTCAATGCATCATTCCTTAATTTTCTAGCTAAAAAACCAGAAGCAGGCAAAAACAAAAAGAAACCACAGCTTCTGGGCTGGGGATGTAGATCAGTGGTAGAGCACTTGCCTAGCAGTMGAGAAGCCCTGGATTCAATCCCCAGCACCTCAAAACAAACAAATGAACAAGCCAGATTCTTATTCTCCTCATGAAAAACTTGAAGATACTTATAACCTCTTCTCTATTTTCAATGGGTTTATATATCCTTCTAAAATTACTAGACATATAGTCACAAAAATCAAATATCACAATAATTTTTTTCTTTTCAGGCATTTATAGATTAAGAAAATCTACCACAACTTTTACCCCAAATCAACCAAAGCTGAAATAAAAAAAAATGTATATATATATATATATATATATATATATATATATGCTTACCAGTTCATACATGAAATCTGGATCAGAACTGTTTGCTAAGAGATCTGTGCTCATCAGAGTCTGCTCTGAAAAGGCGTGGCTTCGAAAGGCATCCCCAAAAGGTGGGTCCATTCCGCTGACGCTAGGCTATAATACAGTGATTTCATTTTAGAAAGCTAAACAGTACTTAAGACCAATTTATTACACATGAACCCCACTCCAAGCAATTTATTTTCAGAAAATAATTCTGAATTTTTTTCTACTGTATAGAAACATTTAAGAGCTTTTACTAGCATTTAACTGTGGAATTACATGAGGAAAATACCTAAGGTGCATTAAAAAATAGAAAAAAATAGTAGCAATTGCTAATAATATCTAACTTATAAAAATTAAAGTTTGTTTAGCACCAGAGTCAGTGTGCAGCACTTAATGAACACTTTTATAACATTTCTTCAAATCCTTCCTAAAGTAGAGAATCCTGGCATTTCCTGGGACCTGCAAAGGTTCACATCAGCTCTACTCTGTACTGCTGAGTGCGATTAGCATCTCATTTCCCAGAACAAACTGGAGGACAATTATGACATCTTTACTCCAACAAATAGGATCAACAAAATAGCCCCCAARTCTCCTGGCTGTGATCAGAAACTTGGGCATGACCTCCGTAGCTTTCATCTGGATTCCTGGGAAGTACACTTCATTCTATAATAAACAAGAAAGGAAAAAAAGACTCTGCATTCAAAGTTAATACTCCTCTGTTTTCTTTCTATTGCCTTTTTACATTTCAACATCTATCCAAAATCACTTCAAAGTCAAAACTCACACTTGTAAAGCAGCTCAAATAACACAAAGGCCTCATTCTGAAATCTAACTCTGATGAGAAAGAATAAAATGTTTCTCTTTACCTTTTTTTTGTTTTTCTTCTGCAAATTTCTGCACAAGTTTTTAAAATGCTTTTAGTCTATTGGCTTAAGATTCTACCCACACACTCTGCTTACCATGACTGGCCTTTCACATACTCTCTTCCCATTTTTCTTTCTTGATGCTCCCCATCCCATTCTTTCTTTCTCTCACTTTCCCTACCTCTTCCAGACCTGTGGGACCTTATTTCCTCAAAATATTTAGGCTGGGAAAACGTTGTATAGTCCTAAATTCAAGTAGTCAATAACAACAAACTAAATCTTGTTTGGGCAAGAATCCTAAAACCCATGTGCAGTCCATGTGGCACAGGGCTGGGGGAGGTGGCCCTCTGGCATTTTTAGTATCAGCTAGCAAGTTCCCTTCTTCACCTCTGCTGGAAGTCATTGACTCCCTGCATTTAAGGACTACTTCTGYACAGACCTTACAGAAAGCTGCCTAAATCTCTGCCCACTCATTAGTTCTTGGTTTCTTCCCAGCACTGAAACAAACAGGGAGTGCAGGAGCTAACCATTAAAAGGCAAGGAGTTTGGGAAAGAACAGGGACTAAGAGGGCTCCACTTACTGTTTCAGTGATTGCCTCAAACCCGAACTGATCAATTCAAATAACTGCCTAATATAATCATCCTTAGACATATTTTTCAAGAGGTATGTGCATGTGCATGCACACACATGTGAGACACAGATGGGATGGGAAGAGGTTGAGAGCCCTGTTTCCTTTTAACTACTTCTCAACCGTCATAAATGAAAGGAAGGAGTTGGAAATCAGGAAGAAACCAAAGGAGATGGAAAATGGATTGCTGTAGCAGATTCATTTTTAGGGAGCTGGTTTAGCCCCCATAAAGCTATCAGATCTACCCACTTCCTAACCTACCTATTCACCATGCTTCCTGTGACAAATTCATTGGAGTTCAAAGCTGTGGCTGGGAGAAAACAGAMGGCAAAGGAAGGAGGACACGATTTCCAAACAAGTTGAGATCAGCAATAATAGCAACATGCCAAATTGTGTTAAGACTCAGAACTTATAAGCCCATGGTGCTAGGTTTCTACAGGAGGAAAACAGAACTTGACACCTATTCCTTATGATTTACCTGAGGCATTTCCAAGCCCAGATCCTGTGAGTCCAATTTCAAACTTCTTTTTTTCGTCTGTAAATTCCTTTCCAGCTTTATTTTTTATTCCAAAATCAAAGATGATTTTCACAATAAATAGCAGGTTTCCTCAGAATGCCTTCAACTCAATTGCTTGGGTCACTGTTTTAATAATTCTGTGCGATTCTGTCAAACAACACAAAGTAACTTCACTGAGCTCCATTGAAAACAAGTTGACCTTTCAAAAACAACGTTAACAAAGAATACTTTAAATGAGGAAGTCTTCTGATTATTATMAAAAATTCAGTCATGTCTTTGTACCTAGTATCCTGAAATTCACCTTATTTGTAAAAATAGGATTGATCAATAACCAACTGGTAACGCTCAAAAATAACCTATTGTGATAAAATGAATATATCCTCATCTTTCCCATGATCAGAAAAAGTATTTTACTTAATAGTAAATCAAGCTCTCATTCACCTGAGAGGAAACATACTTCATTTAATCTCATCAATTATAAATCATTACTGCTAAATTATGTCTTATAAATCTACAAGAAGAGTAATGAATCCACAATAGCAATGAAATTTAACATACGGGCTACATTAAAAAAAAAATCAGACCTGTAATGGTATACACCAATATTATTCTTTGAGATATAACTAAAAACTGTCCTTGGGAAAAAAAAAAGAATTACTCCAGCAGGTTTTTAAAACAGGGTGTAAGTTGAGGCAGTATGGAATGGGGATTCCTTTGCCCAGTGGTTTCAAGGGTTAAGTTAAATAATGACTGCAAATCATCTGGCATGGGGTCTTGCAAGGTGCAGACTAATAGGTTAATTCCCTTTCCCTTATTGTAAAGACCTCAATGAGGAGAAAGAAAAATAGTTATACCTAGAACTCATTTTCTTGTCCTAAGTCAATAGTTCTCAAAAGTGCAATCCCAGGACCACCACAATCAACCTAGGAATTGTTAGAAATGCAAAATCTTGGGCCCAAGCCCCATCACCAAACAGAAGCCCTAGAGTGGGGCTCAGGAATAGTTTATAAACAAGTCTCCCAGGAGACTCTGACCCACCCTGATGTTGGAGGACTGCTGCTTACCCTTGCTATGGTTCAGTCTAAATGCAGTGACATTTCTTAAATTAATATAAAGAGCCAATTTAAACTGATCTGCCCTCTGTAATTCATACATTCTCTAAGCTAGACTGGTAAATTATTTCAATTCCAAAAGCCTCTTACTGAACAAATAAAAGTTGAGAAAGCACTAAGTAACTGTTCTATTTAATCAGATTAATAAATTGACTACAATTTCCTGGATCTTTGTTGGGCTCTCCTCTCATGGATGTCATTCCAGCTCACTGGTCTCACCTAGGAAGCACCGTCAAATACCCAGCCAGGGCCTAGAAACAGAGTTAAGCTGTGCTTTCCAGTTCAGTGAAATTGTCCAAGTGAACTGAACTCTGCTCCTGCCAAAGATAAGTTCTTGCTCAAATGACTTCATACCTTGGTCCCATTACCAGTAAGTAGTCCTATTCAAAACTCTTCCCCTGATTCCTGTGAAAGATAAGATCAGTCATCTATTCTAGATCTATTATTTAGCCCCAAGAAGGCAATGAATTCAAGTCATACATCATCAAAATGAACTAGTATAATCCTGGTCTCAAACCTGGATCTGAAAGAAAAGCCTGACAACCTTTAAAACCTAAAAACTTACACTGACTAGTAACAGACTGAGGCTGAAGACTCAGGCAGGGGTTGAGTCCTAGTCAACATATACTTGCTGGCTTCTTCTAAAGATCTAATTGCCATGAGTCTAATTTATCAGAAACACTGGATAGAAAAGGGCTAAGTGTTAGTCACAGTTCTCACTTGCAAGCTATACAACACCAGGTGAAAATCTTTCTAAGCTTTAATTTTCTCATTTCAAGACAAAAAACAAAAACACTATGACCCTCTCCTGGCTACTAGATTGTCTAAGCCATGAAACTTCCATACAAATACAAGAATTTCTTTGGAATTTTATTTTAAAACATCAAGACCAAATTTCACTTAATGTAGTTATCAAAAAAAGAGCACTTGTTTGATCAATAAGAAATGTGGTTCCATGGAACTGAGGCTGTGGCTCAGTGGTAGAGTGCTTGCCTAGCACACATGAGGCCYTGGGTTTAATCCTCAGCACCACATAAAAAATAAAATAAAGGTATTTAAAAAAATTCAGAATCCATAAAAAAAAAAAGAAAGAAATGTGGTTCTAGTCCCCCACTTCCCAGTACTGGAGACTGAACCCAAGGAAATTCCACCWCTGAGCTGCATCCCCAACCCTTTCTATTTTTTTATTTTGAGACAAGGTCTCACTGAGTTGCTGAGGCTGGCCTTGAACTTATTTGCTCTTCCTGTCCCCACCTCCAAGTAGTTTTTCTCTTTTTTTTTTTTTCAATACTCGTGATTGAACCGAGGAATTTGTACTTGCTAAGCAACCACTCTTACTCCCCAGCCTTTTTTATTTTTATTTTTCCTAAATCAACGAGGCTAGTGTCAAACTTGCAATTCTCCTACCTCAGTCTCTCAAGWCATGAGAATTATAGGATTTACCATCACATCTGACTCCTGATTCCAGTTGTAATCTCATGATTAAATTCAAACAGCCATATGAATTAAAACATGTTACTTATTTAGGCCTTAGCTCACAAACTTGAGATCTGTTATTCTCCTTTATGTAATAGGGATGCTATGAGAATTAATGAGATTATCAGATTAAAAAGTAGTAATAATACAAATTTAGAAGGGTGATTATGACTAATAGGTATACTTTGCCAATGCTTTCTTTGTCCCATGGAGCCCAGCTCAGAAACTCAATATTTGTGACAACTGTTGGTAGCAAAGCTGAGCGCCGTTGACAGCAAAGATGTGGTTTCCAAAGAGTAGGCACCCACCAAGTGAAGGGGTAAGCTCCCAAGTGAAGGGCTTCTGAAGGTCCTAATAAGTTGCTTCTCCTTGTTTCTCAAACAGCACAAAACAGAGGCTGTGGCATACCTATAATCCCACAGCTCTAGAGGCTGAGGTAAGAGAATTGCAAGTTCAAAGCCAACATCAACAACTTAGCAAGGCCTTAGGCGACTTAGAGAAACCCTGTCTCAAAATAAAAAAGAGCTGGGATGTGGCTCAGTGGTTAAGTGTCCCTGAGTTCAATCCCCTGTAACCCAACCCCCCCAAAAATAAATAAATAAAAATCAAACAGGAGGAAACAGGATGAGAGAAGCACCAATTCTACTCCAAGCAGTGGGGCTCCTCTCAGTAATGAACTCCCAGTCCTAGGTTGTTTCTCACTCAACATTTTGGACCCATTTCCCAGAAATTTAGAGTATTGTTCTAAACATGAGCTGGGAAACAACCATGAAGAACAAAATTCCCCATCTGAAAGTGGAAGCAAAAAATAAAGGATTCTACAGCAGTTACCATTACATACCATCTTCCAATAACTGTGTCCTATACCAGGGAGCCACACAGGGAGGCATTAATGCTTAGTGGCAGAATAACACTGAGGAGGAATGTGTGACAACTTGCTTTTCAGGATGGCTTCACACTTTTTTTACTCTCAAGGATATCCATGTTTTACTCAGAGCTTTGATACTGAAATGCATTGAAAGCAATGTTCTAATTTCCCAAAGTACGACTGAGGAATGTCTGTTCCAAGGAAGATGAAATGACTGGCTACCTCTCCTGCAGGACTTCTTGGATAGGCCAAGGAGCTGCTGTGCACGCAAATCACAATAGGGGCAAGAGCAGCGCCATTTCCCAGACTTGAGTATAATCGCCCTCCCTCCCTGAAGATGAGTGCTTTTTCCAGAAATACAAACTAGCAAACACCAGAGGAGCTAAATTCTCCCAAGCATCACTTCTTTTTATTGACAGCGCTGGCTCACCAGTTCTCAGTACTGTTTTGTGGGTTTCTCAAGGAAGAAAGAACTATGGTTCATCAGAAATAATATTTACCAATATATTTTCTGTACCTGGGCTCATTCAAAAATATTCAACAACACCTCCTAGGCACAGGAAAACAATCCTGAAACACAGAACTAGCTCTCTGAAGCAATGAGGAGGACTAAAAACTAAATTTTGAGCAGCAATGGGACCACTTAAGACAACCAACATCTCAATTTCTTCCACATCCCTTTCTACTAGGTTCTGTGCTGGGTTTTTGGTTACTGAGCATTGTTGAGGCATCTGTCAGGCAAGGCAACAGGTAGAGTAAGATAATAGGTACAGTCAAAGGACTTCTTACCAAAGCTTAGGACTGCCCAAACCATTACTTGCAACTCTAAAAGCCAAATATAAAAGCTGATATGTATCCTGCAACTCCTAAACTGTGTCTCATCTCAATCTGAGGGTCTCAGCTGATCCATGAACCCACATATTTTTAAAAAGGTCACATCAAGAAACATATAAACCTCTTTATGAATGAAATATCTTATGAATACACTGATACTGTATAAATGGCCAGAATCCCACACCTTCCCTTTCATATGGCCACTGACACCTTTTAGTAACCTGAAGGAAATGGCTCCTCATGATGGTAAGTTGCCCTTCTGAGTCATCCAACAAAGATCAGAATAAATGTTAAAAATTTTGACACACCCACTAGGATGGCTATTAACCATGGAAAGTAACACATGTTGGTGAGGAGCTAGAGAAACCAGAATGACTGGTGGGAATGAAAGTGGTGCAGCTGGTGTGGGAAATAATTTAGCAGTTCCTCAAAAAGTTAAACATAGAATGACCAAATGTTCCAGCAATTCCATTCTAGGTATGTGCCCAGAAGAACTGAAAGCAAGCACTCAGGCAGGTATGTAACGTGTGTTCACAGCAGCACTCTTCATAAACCAAAGACATGAACAAACTCAAGTGCCCACCAATAGACAATGGATAAACAAACCACAGCACAAAAACAATGAATAACTCAGTCATAAAAAGAAATAAAATTCTTCCTTTTTAAGATGAATATATTACGGCTGGGTTAGTTTGTCCTCCCCTAGATATACTGAAATTGTATACAATTTTATTTATCTGTGGCGCTGGGGATCAAACCCAGGACTTTATGCACACTGGGTGAGCACTCTACCGCTGAGCTATAGCCCCAGCCCCAGGAATGAAATTCTGATGCATCCTACAACCAGTATGAATCTT